AACATTAAAGTGACGTCATCGTTTTCTGTTTCAGTAAGATGAAGGGTTCAGATAACCAGGAGAAGCTCGTGTATCAGGTCATCGAGGACGCAGGAAACAAAGGTAACAAACAGAACAGGAAACGTCTCGTCAAGTAGGGCCGCCATGACAGGTTGACCGTTGCCGTGGAAACACCGGGCGCTACGTCAAAGACAACTGCATAAGGAAGCAGAGGGGGTCGCTCCCATGATTCCCTGCCAGCCTTGACGTCATCTTTTGTTATTGTTTTGATTGAGAGCCCCCTGGTGGCGGAGTTTACTTCCTGTGTTCTTTAACACAATGTTTATTTTACTAACACCTTAAGAAAAACAAGTGATCAGCTGTTTGAGTGTTTACATTGTTGTGATCAGCTGTTTGAGTGTTTACATTGTTGTTGTTGTGATCAGCTGTTTGAGTGTTTACATTGTTGTTGTTGTGATCAGCTGTTTGAGTGTTTACGTTGTTGTTGTTGTGATCAGCTGTTTGAGTGTTTACATTGTTGTTGTTGTGATCAGCTGTTTGAGTGTTTACATTGTTGTTGTGATCAGCTGTTTGAGTGTTTACATTGTTGTGATCAGCTGTTGGAGTGTTTACGTTGTTGTTGTTTGTTGCTGTGCAGGGATCTGGAGCAGAGATATCCGTTTTAAGAGTAACCTCCCTCTGACTGAGATCAACAAGATCCTGAAGAACCTGGAGAGTAAGAAGCTCATCAAAGCCGTCAAGTCTGTGGCTGTGAGTTTACACCTGTTCACCTGTTCACCTGTTCACCTGCACACCTGTAAACCTGCACACCTGTAGACCTGCATACCTTTAAACCTGCACACCTGTTCACCTGTAGACCTGCACACCTGTTCACCTGTAGACCTGCACACCTTTAAACCTGCACACCTGTAGACCTGCATACCTTTAAACCTGCACACCTGTTCACCTGCATACCTTTAAACCTGCACACCTGTAGACCTGCATACCTTTAAACCTGCACACCTGTAGACCTGCATACCTTTAAACCTGCACACCTGTTCACCTGTAGACCTGCACACCTGTAAACCTGCACACCTGTAGACCTGCATACCTTTAAACCTGCACACCTGTTCACCTGTAGACCTGCACACCTGTTCACCTGTAGACCTGCACACCTGTTCACCTGTAGACCTGCACACCTTTAAACCTGCACACCTGTAGATCTGCACACCTTTAAACCTGCACACCTTTAAACCTGCACACCTGTAGACCTGCACACCTGTAAACCTGCACACCTGTAGACCTGCACACCTGTTCACCTGTAGACCTGTAAACCTGCACACCTATTCACCTGTAGACCTGCACACCTGTAGACCTGCATACCTGTAGACCAGCACACCCCCCCACCTGTAAACCTGCACACCTGTTCACCTGTAGACCTGCACAACTGTTCACCTGTAGACCTGCACACCTGTAAACCTGCACACCTGTTCACCTGTAGACCTGCACACCTGTAGACCTGTAGACCTGCACACCTGTAGACCTGCACACCTGTAGACCTGCACACCTGTAGACCTGCACACCTTTAAACCTGTAGACCTGCACACCTGTAGACCTGCACACCTGTTCACCTGTAGACCTGCACACCTTTAAACCTGCACACCTGTAGACCTGCACACCTGTTCACCTGTAGACCTGCACACCTGTAGACCTGCACACCTTTAAACCTGCACACCTGTAGACCTGCACACCTGTTCACCTGTAGACCTGCACACCTGTAGATACACTACACAGCTTTACCCCTGAAAGTTCACCTGTGGAGATATCAGCTTCCTGTCTGACTCGTCCATGTTTTTTCATGTTGCAGGCGTCTAAGAAGAAGGTGTACATGCTGTATAACCTGCAGCCCGACCGCTCGGTGACGGGCGGCGCCTGGTACAGCGACCAGGACTTTGAGTCTGAGTTTGTGGAAGTCCTGAACCAGCAGTGCTTCAAGTTCCTGCAGAGCAAGGTAAGAAAAACAACCTGTTCTCAGACTGCAGCGAGGTCAAAACTCAAGCTGCTGAACTCTGACCTTCATGAAACATCCACCAAGTGGATCAGGTTCCATCAGACCAGCAGGGGGCAGCAGAGTCAACGAGGTCATCCTCATATCGTGTGTGTGTGTGTGTGTAGGCTGAAGCGGCGAGGGACAGTAAACAGAGTCCCATGGTTCAGAGGAACAGCTCCTTCGCCACCTCACACGAAGTCTGGAAGTACATCTGCGAGCTGGGAATCAGCAAGGTGACACTGCTTAACCCCCGCCCACTTTATGACATCACACACCTGACCACGCTGAACCTCGTGCACCTTTGTAGTTTAGTTTGATTATTCCTTTAGTGTCAGACTGACAGGTGTGTGTGTGTGTGTGTGTAGGTGGATCTGTCTATGGACGACATCGAGACCATCCTGAACACGCTCATCTACGACGGGAAGGTGGAGATGACCATCATCGCCGCCAAGGAGGGGACGGTGGGCAGCGTGGACGGACAGATGAAGCTGTACCGCGGCGTCAACCCCATCCTGCAGCCCACCGGCCTCGTCAGGACGCCGTGCGGCCTCTGCCCGGTAACAACACACACCACACAGAGACAGAGACACACACAGAGACACACACACACACACACACAGAGACACAGAGACAGAGACACACACACAGAGACACAGAGACAGAGACACACAGAGACAGAGACACACACACAGAGACACAGAGACAGAGACACACAGAGACAGAGACACACACACAGAGACACAGAGACAGAGACACACAGAGACAGAGACACACACACACACACAGAGACACAGAGACAGAGACACACAGAGACACACACACACAGAGACAGAGACACACAGAGACACACACACAGACACACACAGAGACAGAGACACACACACACAGACACACACAGAGACAGAGACACACACACAGACACACACAGAGACACACACACACACAGAGACACAGAGACAGAGACACACACACAGAGACACACACACACAGAGACAGAGACACACAGACACACACACAGAGACACACACATACACACACACACACACACACAGATACACACAGAGACACACACATACAGAGACACACACACACACAGACACACACACACACACACAGATACACACAGAGACACACACATACAGAGACACACACACACACAGACACACACACACACACACACCAATGATCCAAACCTTGTACGTGGCGGTCTTCTCTCCTCGCCGCCGGTCGGGCAGAACTTCAACTAGTACAACTAAAAAAACTCATCGGGTATTTAAAGTCCTGCTCATGGTCGGTCACAACGTAGTAGCTTACACGCCCTCAGTTTACTAAACTGACTTCCTGTTTCCTGTTTCCTGTCGTCAGGTGTTTGAAGACTGTCATGAAGGAGGAGAGATCTCGCCGTCTAACTGCGTTTACATGAGCGAGTGGTTGGACTTCTGACAGCTCGTCTCCTCCTCTCTCTTTTCTCTCACAGCTGTGATCCACAACATTTATTTTCTATTTATCTCAAAGTCTAATAAAAGTCTCAAACGGCCGCTGCTTCTTGACTTTGTCTCTTCTTCTGGTGAATAAATAAAGACGGAGAGTTTATATTTATAATCAGCTGGTGAGGTCTTCTTAACCAGAACACAGTTACCCGGTGTTGAAACATGAAGCTGATGCTGAAGTGTAAAATCCTGCAGTTCCTGGAGTGTCCACTAGATGCTGGCTGCAGAAGCACAGGAAGTCACATACACACCCATGTAAAGAGTCCATCTGGAGTTTTGTAAAAACATATTACGAGTCCACAGAAACTGTCCAAACCACGGCTGCAGAGCCAAGCTGGGCCAGTTCCCTCTACTGATCCACATTAAAGGATAAAGTTCATGAACCACCTGATCGAGTCCGAGTCACAGCAACACAGAGCTTATTTAGAACACACACACTCTCTGATCACTGATAGAAACACCACACATAGATCCACATATCAAAGCAACTCACAAATTCAACAAACAGACAAAGATAATAAACAGAAATATATGAATCAGTGGAAATTAGAAACCCAAACAATACATAGAGTAGAATGCTATAGTTTACTGGACAGGGAATTCAAATTATCCTAATATTTAAGAGAAATAAAAGAAACTCTTAAAAGACAAACAGTGACTAAATACAGGCTCATGTCAGCTCTGCAGAGGTTTCACCTGCTGAGTTATACAGTGTTGGGTCCCAGCCCGATAGGAGAAAGCCTCCCAAACCAGACTGCATGTTTAAATGGAGGGAAAACAAACAAAGGATCTTAAAGAACTCTTAATCCCAGCATGCTCTGCAGTACTTCACGCTCAGGTGTGAAGTGTAGGGGGAGCCTGGATTCAAGGTTTTTTCTTAGCCACAGAGAAGGACGCCTATTGGTCCGAGATGCCTGTCAATAACATGAGTAGATCCCGCCTACCATGATATTCTAACGCGACTCAAATAATAGTTTTAAAATGTTTAAATCCATCAATTAATAAATAATAAAATAACATGAAACACGAAACACAAAAAATACAAAATAAAACACATTTAAGTTAAAACATTTGTTTTTTAAATAAAACCAAAAGACGTAATATATAAATAAAATAAAATATGAATTTAAATTAGTTTAATTTAATAATTTAATTAAATTAAAACATTTGAAAAAATACAAATAAATAAATAGAAAATTACATTAATTTAACTATAAAAATTGAAACAAAACAATCTATGAAATAAATATACTTTACGTGTTTACTTTTACCTGTTTTAAAGCTTTGATAAAAGTTTAGTTTTTCAACCATATTACTTTATTTCTTCAGTTTACTTTTATTTGATTAAATTCTGTTATTATTATTGCGGTAATTAATTATCATATATGTATTTCCTCTGCTTATTAATGTTACATGAGTGTGAAACATTTTACAATTAAAGACAAATATATTTAAATGATATTTATATCTGACTGTATTTGTATTCTTCCTCTCTGAAGGTGATGTCATGTTAAACTGCTGAGTCATCTTAAACGGATCGATCCAATCCATTAAAGTTCAGCCTGGATCAACACCGCCCCCGTGTGGCTGAAAGGAGAACACAGAAATATGAGAGGTCACTGTAAATCTCAATGTGTTGTTTTTTCCTCTTCACTTCATCTGTCACTAAAAGTCAGGTTTTCAGAGAACTCATTAAAGATGGCGCTTTCAAAAAAACGCTTCATGGCAGCATGAGGGAAAAAGGCGTGCAGCGTGTACGCTCGATGACTCCTAGTGCCAAGCTGCAGTTTAGACAGTACTACACAGAGTCCACTTCAGCAAATCTGGATTATCTGAATATATCGGATATCATGATATGTGCAAATTAATTCAGACAACAAGAGATCTTTGGCTACCTCCCCTAGGGGT